GCGTGTCAGGGAACTCAGCCCGACAACCTCCCACAGCTTCATAACTAGGGGCGTGTCAGGGAATTCAGCGGGTCAGTATCCCCGCCCGACAACCTCCCACAGCTTCATAACTAGGGGCGTGTCAGGGAACTCAGCCCGACAACCTCCCACAGCTTCATAACTAGGGACGTGTCAGGGAACTCAGCCCGACAACCTCCCACAGCTTCATAACTAGGGGCGTGTCAGGGAACTCAGCCCGACAACCTCCCACAGCTTCATAACTAGGGACGTGTCAGGGAACTCAGCCCGACAACCTCCCACAGCTTCATAACTAGGGACGTGTCAGGGAACTCAGCCCGAAAACATCCCACAGCTTCATAACTAGGGACGTGTCAGGGAACTCAGCACGAAAACATCCCACAACTTCATAACTAGGGACGTGTCAGGGAACTCAGCGGGCCAGTATCCCCGCCCGACAACCTCCCACAGCTTCATAACTAGGGGCGTGTCAGGGAACTCAGCCCGACAACCTCCCACAGCTTCATAACTAGGGACGTGTCAGGGAACTCAGCCCGAAAACATCCCACAGCTTCATAACTAGGGACGTGTCAGGGAACTCAGCGGTCCAGTATCCCCGCCCGACAACCTCCCACAGCTTCATAACTAGGGGCGTGTCAGGGAACTCAGCGGGCCAGTATCCCCGCCCGACAACCTCCCACAGCTTCATAACTAGGGACGTGTAAGGGAACTCAGCCCGAGAACCTCCCACAGCTTCATAACTAGGGGCGTGTAAGGGAACTCAGCCCGAGAACCTCCCACAGCTTCATAACTAGGGGCGTGTCAGGGAACTCAGCCCGACAACCTCCCACAGCTTCTTAACTAGGAACGTGTCAGGGAACTCAGCGGGCCAGTCCAATGTCTTTATGTCTTCTCGTTGGAGATTATCGGAGACGACCTGGGAATGTTGTGGTCTAGCATTGTCATCTTACAGTTCAAAAGTTTGTGCCGATAATTCTAGCGAAATGAACAGTTCAGGCCCATGATTCATTACAACCTCGCCCGTTCTGTATCTATTTTGGGTAGATTTATTTTCTGTTGCAGAATATAGTACTTCGATTGAATCGGAGGAATGGTCTATATTATAAAGGTTTGTGCTCAGTAAAGGTTTTTTTCTATTGTCCTAACTGTGTGCTGTCTCTCGCGAATTAGCTCCGAAACTCTCTTTAATCATAACAAGACATCAATAAACACATTCTTCCATGACTTCGGAAAATACACGATTCTAAACTCAACGATTCAACAGCTGATTTGTTTGACGGTCACATCGCTGCAGAACTGGGAACGATGTGGTCTAGCATTGTCATTTATCAGTTCAAAAGTTTGTGCCGATAATTCTAGCGAAATGAACAATGATAGGACGCACAACAACAATACCGCTCACAGCCAGGCCCTGGTCTCATTACAACCTCGGGGGCGGTCGGGTAGCCCAGTGGTTAAAGCGTTCGCTCGTCACGCCGAAGACCCGGGTTCGATTCCCGACACGGGTACAATGTGTGAAGCCCATTTCTAGTGTCCCCCGCCGTGATATTGCTGGAATATTGCTAAAAGCGGCGTAAAACCATACTCACTCACTCATTACAACCTCGCCCGTTGGAAGTTACTTGTCCCACAGTCAAGAAGTTACACCTTTTGATTTGCCCAACATTTGGGCAACGTAGGTTACTGGTGTCCCAAACTTATCTACCTTTCGCCAATGTTATCTGTTTATTGAGATATTATCTCGGAGGCATTTTTAAGCATGTGCTCAGCTCAATTGCATTTGTGATTGTGTGTTTTCATATTGGCGCACATACTTTGGTTTCTGTGAGCACGTGTATAACGTTTTGGTCATGCATGACATTGCATTGCGTTAAGATGTTATATGCACCTAAACAATAACTACATTCAAATATTAATTTCCCTTACTTTTGTCGGTTGTATATTACAATGTAAAGTTTTCTTTGTTTAAAAGTAATTAAATCCATTCTTGCTTTGCCGAAAACAGACCTTTCCAAATGAGGATATATGTCATTAGAGGAAGAGATAGTTGCGTTTTGTATCTATTTTGGGTGTATTTGTTTTCTGTTGCAGAATACAGAACTTAGAGGGGCTGGTAGTTCGATTGAATCGGAGGAAGGGTCTATGTAATAAAGGATTGTGCTCGGTAAAGTGTTTTTCTATTATCCTAACTGCGTGCTGTCTCTCAGTATTCAGCTCCGGAACTTTCCATAATCATAACGAGACACCAATAAACACATTCTACAAGGACTTTGAAAAATACACGATTCTAAACTTTCTCAATTTGTGGTCAAAATGGCCAGCATGACGTCATATTATTTGCTTCACAATGGGCGGTCACGTGCAAGCGACGTGTTGTGTAGAACTAAATCTTGGTAAACCCGGTATTGATGGTAAGTTATACGCTTTACACTTACAAGATAATGTATACAAGCGGAAAGAAGTTACATTCACAGGTAATCTAGGAGATTAAAGCGATGTCGACGTTAGTGGACTCCATAAACACACTTCACACAATCTTACTCGCAACAATGATAATAAATGGACTATGGTCAAAGAAAAAAATCGAGTGGCTACTAAAAATCGTCATTACACCACCATATGTGATGATGGGTAAGGCACATAATTTAACTAAGATAATAAATAGTGGGATTGTACTCGTGGCTTATATCCCCTCAAAACGAAAAAGTGTGTTAGTCTCTTCCCTGCCAGAAAACCCAGGTCATATGTTATTTAGTCGTCCGGAAGTAAAAAACGTTAGTTTAAATTTGGTTACTGAATACATTGATATTAAAGACAACTTGAGTGCAATACCTAATCTTTCTACGCTTATTATTGAAGTCTTGTTTGGAGATGTACCGGTAGATGCCTTCGAAATATTACCAGGTCTATCGATTAAATGGCTCAAGAAACACAACCGTCAACGTTGCAGTATTATTTATATGGCAGCATCACCCGTTGCAACCATTGAGGGGGTCCAAATTATTAAAAGTGACAGCATTTCTCTCACTAAGATATTTATGCCGTATAATATACATTTAATAAGGCTGATGTACACTCTCAAAACATTGAAGCAAGACCAATTAAAGACTATCATATGATATAATAATATAAACTATGAGTTTATATCCGGCGCTCGATGAAGCATTTGAAAAGGTGGATTTCTTTCCGTTCTAGGCAATTCTACAATAATAATAATTACTAATTAATAGTGATTCATAAACAAGTTTGAGATAGTCGAAATCATACAGCAGGTTATACTCTTAGCAGAGATTTCTTATGATTATCAAAACGGTTTTGTGACTTTTTTGTTTGATTGTATTCCAGATCATTAAAACGTGTACAATTTGGTTTAACAACTCAAACATTTGGACATTTCATCATAATGTGACAGATGTTGTTTTTTTCATATTGATCGTCATTGTCTATGGTATCAATGATGGTGGTAGAGTGGATGCTTGATCAGGTGCAGGACGTTGTTCTTGCCAAGAGTGAGTGAGTGAGTTGGGTTTAACGCCGCTTTGAACATTCTTCAAGTCATATCGCGGTGTGTCAGCTTAATGTGGGAGGAAAGCCCGAAGTGATGCAGGTGTCAGACGTTTACCACTACGGTGAAACCCACGAGCTGACAAACCTAGAAACATAATCGTGGCAAACCGGGATTCGAACCCACAATCATAGGTTTCTGGCGTGCCCAAGGGACGCAACTCTGCACAGCGAATCGCAGTGCCTTAGACGACTGGGCCACTAGTGCCCCCTCTTGCCAAGATGGAGGATGAAAACTGTGCACGAAGCATAAAACGAAAGTATTTGGGAGTTACATTTCCCTGGGGAAGCTCACTTTTATTTCGTTATTTTCAAGATCCCCGAAACTGCATTGCCACCAATAGCCCATTAGTCATACACTGCGAAAAATGGATATATAGGCCTTGTATATAATTTGTCATTCTTTGAAAAGACTAAAATGTACAGATGTACAACGATGCCTTGACTAAGATTTCAAGCTACGTCAAACCTTGAAAAAATCATGCAAGTCAACACATAGAAATACCCAAGGAGGATAAGGGCTTTAGACGCGGCATTTACTATGTCCAGCAGTGTGGTCAAAAGGGCAGCGTGGCGTCATATCGCTTGCGTCACAATGGGCCGTGACGTGCTGAAAAGAACTAAATCTTGAAAAGTTTAATTTTCTTTCGCTGTACAAAATGAAAGCATCTTCAGTAAACACAGCGCCTTATCTGTTGTTTGGAGGCTATTATCGATTCTCGTTTAGTTCGAATTCCTGAGGCATTCGTTACACTGAAGCTGCTCTACTTACTGTTTTCGCTAATACCAAAACGTTCGAGTTTAATTTCATCCTAATACATTCTATATGAACATAAAATGTAGAAGTGGGATACCTGTAGATCGCATTCAATTTAACATTTTTTAACTTTGGTTAAAATTTGATTTTTGGAGTGTTAAGCACAAGGAAAACACAGTATTATTTCCTACTGATCTCAGTTTAAAACTTTAGTAAGTCTGTAATGGGGCTTGTTCTACTTCCGGGATCAAATTATTTCTGCGATTGTTATAGTTGATATATAACTCCTCTATAGTTTTCCATAATGACCTATATTTGCATCAATTTACTTTTATATAAAATGCACGATCAGAATGGCAAATGATTTCCTGACTCATAATCATTGGTAACAATAACAATATCGTGACGTCACAATACTTGTTTAACAAAGGATTAACGACGATATCCACCCTTTCCGGAATGTTAAATGCTCTGTCTCTACATGATACATATTACATTGGGAATGTTACACTTATTTCTACGCCAAAATATCATATGACAATAACAGATTAAAAGAACAGCTGCTGAAATGTTGTTGAGGGACCCCACATATACCTATTTCGGGTACATGTTTTATCAATAAAACAAAACAATATCGAGTAGCATGCAAGAAGAATTCATGAAATCATATAAAACTTTATTTCTCCATTAAATTTACACGGTTTTATTTAAAGTGACATACATTCATCCACAAATGAAAGACGAAATGTTGGTACCGATATATACGTTCATCGTCTACATAATGTTCACAGAGATAAGTGATTTGTTTCCATGATCTTGTTGCAATGAATAAAATGTTTGAAGGATACAAAATATAAACAAAATATAACGAAGTACAAATGCTGAATGTCAGTAAGAAGCAAGAAGCAAAATCCCACAAAAACATCTGTCTTGCTTCTTTAAGATACGGCTTATTATTTTCGAGAGGATTATATCTCCATTTTTATTTTTAGGAATACCTTGACCCATTCGGGAAGTGACGTAACCTCCTCCTTTGTTTCTGTGTGGTAGATTCGTGGCTGTATCAGGGTGTTTCTGTGTGGTAGATTCGTGGCTGTATCAGGGTGTTTCTGTGTGGTAGATTCGTGGCTGTATCAGGGTGTTTCTGTGTGGTGGATTCGTGGCTGTATCAGGGTGTTTCTGTGTGTTGGATTCGTGGCTGTATCAGGGTGTTTCTGTGTGGGAGATTCGTGGCTGTATCAGGGTGTTTCCTGTGTGGGAGATTCGTGGCTGTATCAGGGTGTTTCTGTGTGGGAGATTCGTGGCTGTATCAGGGTGTTCCTGTGTGGGAGATTCGTGGCTGTATCAGGGTGTTTCTGTGTGGTAGATTCGTGGCTATGTATCAGGGTGTTTCTGTGTGGTAGATTCGTGGCTGTATCAGGGTGTTCCTGTGTGGTAGATTCGTGGCTGTATCAGGGTGTTCCTGTGTGGTAGATTCGTGGCTGTATCAGGGTGTTTCTGTGTGGTAGATTCGTGGCTGTATCAGGGTGTTTCTGTGTTGGAGATCCGTGGCTGTATCAGGGTGTTTCTGTTTGGGAGATTCGTGGCTGTATCAGGGTGTTTCTGTGAGGGAGATTCGTGGCTGTATATCAGGGTGTTTCTGTGTGGGAGATTCGTGGCTATGTATCAGAGTGTTTCTGTGTGGGAGATTCGTGGCTGTATCAGGGTGTTTCTGTGTGGGAGATTCGTGGCTGTATCAAGGTGTTTCTGTGTGGGAGATTCGTGGCTGTATCAGGGTGTTTCTATGTGGGAGATTCGTGGCTGTATATCAGAGTGTATCTGTGTGGTGGATTCGTGGCTGTATCAGGGTGTTTCTATGTGGGAGATTCGTGGCTGTATATCAGAGTGTATCTGTGTGGTGGATTCGTGGCTGTATCAGGGTGTTTCTGTTTGGGAGATTCGTGGCTGTATCAGGGTGTTCCTGTGTGGGAGATTCGTGGCTGTATCAGGGTGTTTCTGTGTGGTGGATTCGTGGCTATGTATCAGGGTGTTTCTGTGTGGGAGATTCGTGGCTGTATCAGGGTGTTTCTGTGTGGTGTATTCGTGGCTGTATATCAGGGTGTTTCTGTGTGAGGATTCGTGGCTATGTATCAGGGTGTTTCTGTGTGGTGGATCCGTGGCTGTATCAGGGTGTTTCTGTGTGGGAGATTCGTGGCTGTATCAGGGTGTTTCTGTGTGGTGGATTCGTGGCTGTATCAGGGTGTATCTTTGAGGGTGACTCGTGGCTGTATCAGGATGTTTCTGTGTGGGAGATTCGTGGCTGTATCAGGATGTTTCTGTATGGGATATTCGTGGCTGTATCAGGGTGTTTCTGTGTGGGAGATTCGTGGCTGTGTATCAGGGTGTTTCTGTGTGGGAGATTCGTGGCTGTGTCAGGGTGTTTCTGTGTGGGAGATTCGTGGCTGTATCAGGGTGTTTCTGTGTGGGAGATTCGTGGCTGTGTATCAGGGTGTTTCTGTGTGGGAGATTCGTGGCTGTATCAGGGTGTTTCTGTGTGGGAGATTCGTGTATCAGGGTGTATCTTTGAGGGTGATTCTCACTGATCACAGAATGTTTCTTGCTCATGAGAGTAATTTGATTGGACACTATTTTCAGCCTCCTGCGATTCTTATCAGACTAAAAATGAAGCTAATTGAATGGGTCCAGGGTGTTAGGGTTAACTGGATGAGGATAATTGAGGGTGTTTTTCATGAAACATATGAAAACTTATTTATTAAAAAACCAGAATTGATTTAAAACTGAAACTCTGACAAAAAAATCCTGACAACTCGTGAATAATGTTACTCCCTTGCAACAAGCGATTGAAACAAGTGAAAATGGTACATAATAAGAAATGCATGAATGGACATGTATATCTACCCAAAGCCAGGAGCCAATATAAAAAGGCACCATAAACAAATCATGAAAAACACATGAGACTAGATCCACGTAGATGGGTGTTGGGCCGTCTGTATTGCACACATCAGCTCCTGTTTAATATCAGCATGTAGGCACCTGTCTCACAACACACTCAAAGCTCCAATACGTAGTATAAATACAAATGTATAGTCAAATTTCTTTCTCAAAATCAACGTATTCGACCCGACCCCACCCAAACGTAAATGGGAACAGAAACCATAAATTAGTAGGGCGTCTGTTCCATATCCAAAACGGAAATAAAGACATGATTTAAATATACATCTGTAAAAATGTTAAGCACTTGTAGATATGAATACAGTAAAATACGTTTATAACGAACACGCTTATAACGAACTGACGGATATAACGAACTTTATTCTGGTCCCGGCCATTTGCTGTATAGATGTTTTATATATGCTTATAACGAACTACGGTTATAACGAACTAAAATTAGTGGTCCATTTGAGTTCGTTATAACCGTAGTTTACTGTACTTTTGAAATACCTACATTGATCTCATGTTGAAAAATGTCCAAGGTATCATCATCACCTGTGTGAACACTATGTTCCTCCCGGTAGTCTGAAGTACTGCGTCATCTCATATTACGCAGAGAAGCAGTGGAAGCAAATGAAAGGGCAGTGAAGCAGTTCCTGTCGCGGTGCGCATGTCACTAGAGAGCCGATTGCGGGTTCTATATTTCAATATGAACATGTAAACAAAAACAAATGTGGTTTGTTATAACAAACACAGAAGGATACGATTTCCTATTTACAGTACAAGGTCAGACTCATTGGCCATGTTCATTAAAGTTGTTGAAAATACACATCACTTTCCAAACCGTTCATCATATAACCATGTACATCATGATGTAATTATCATATAAATATAACAAGAAATAGTGTGTCATTAACTTCCGTTTCTGCGCATTATACACGTTCGTTATTGAGGAAGAAAAAAATACGGATGTCAACTCCACGTGCATGATGAAGGAGTTAGCACATACTCCGAAACGTTGTGTTCCTCATAAAAAAAGAGTTCGACATCTATTAATTCTCTTCTTTACGTGTTTCACTTGTAAATGCCTTTCTAAGATTTTAATATTTATATTTTGCAGGATGCACTTCCGTTACATCGTTCAAGACATGGATTTGCACCGTTACCTCCTGATCCAATACCGAGCTAGACAGCTAAATGGAATCACTCTATGTGACGTCAGTACTGTGCGCTGACGTCATAATGAATTGGAAATGAGGCCAAGATACCCTTGACGTCATACAAACACACATCAGACTGTGATGTCATGAATATCATGCTTTGTTATTAAAGATTCATTGTCTTCATGTGTTCAAACTGTCATATATCCTTTAATTATACACTTGTTAACTTGAAGTTACTCTTGGAACACTATACGTGACGTCAGTACTGTGCGCTGAATGAACATCGAAACTAATGAGCCCATGATATATTTAAATAGTTACATTGTTAACAAAAGCAAATGTGGTTTGATTTTAACAAATGACTATAAGTATTTTATATGAAAATGTATAGCTAGCGGTGCTTAACTTATCCACGTGTATATTTATATATACATTCCAAGGAGGATTTTTTTGCTGAGGAGAATAACACTTGTTTCATTGCCATCTGAATCAGTCACATAAACACCGCACCACATGTCCACTTGGTAGTCATTCATGTCTCACTGTGTGAGCTGGTAGTCATTCATGTCTCACTGTGTGAGCTGGTAGTTATTCATGTCTCACTGTGTGAGCTGGTAGTCATTCATGTCTCACTGTGTGAGCTGGTAGTTATTCCATCATCACACAATGCAGAGGGAGTGGCAAGTATGAAGCATATAACAAGCTTAAGATTCACTTCACATTGACGTCCTATTCACAGTACAAGGATAGCATCATCAGCACTGTCAATCAAAACTGATCAACATTCACCCCATTTCCCAAACGGCACCTCACACAATCGTCTGTGTAAAAGGAAATTGTTTATCTGTAATACCGACGAAACACTTCCGGTACTGCGCATGATACACTTCCGTTTCCGCGCAGGTTGTGCTTCCGTTTTTTTGCTCAGGATTCACGTCCGTTACGTCATTCCCGTCTCCATCACGCCCGCTTCTTTTCAATATCGAGCTGGTCCGCAGAATGGAATCACTATTTTTGACGTCCCTACTGTGCGATGACGTCATAATGAATTCGGACCATCATGTCAATGACGTCAAAATGCATTCATCATACATATGATGTCACAATAAGACACCGACGACACCATATCAGTTACTTCATGAAAAATGACCGATATCGCCACAAAATGTATCCCAACGTGAATAGGGTGTTGCTGATAACGCAGTCCATCAGCGTATCACTATGTCCTTGCTTGACAACATTGCTTACCTTTAGGTTCTGTCATCACAATCGCAAGTGTGTTGGTAAATTGCCTACAACGGGCCCTTTACCGATTCATCCCCTTCAAATACATAGCCATTGTTATAGTAATACATGGGCATATCTGCATAGTAGGCGCTCCGCCATGTTGAATATGGGGTGTAGTAAAAAGGCAAATATGCAACAAACGGACGAGGGATTTTCAGCGTGTCAGAATCCGTCCCTAGTCGAGAGGAATTCGTGGATCTTGACTTCGACCGAAATGCGAAAGGATATCTGAAACAGGAAATAGGAAAATATGAATTGCTTACTCATTCGTGCGTTGGGGTTCAAAGAAATATTACAAATCAACAGTGTTAGATTAGAACTTCTCGATATGTCGACATTAGTAACGAAGAAAAAAACTCGAAACCTTTTCAAAGAGTGAAATATAGCCGGGAAATTCTCTGGAAACCATAGGAGCCAGGTGTAAACATTTTTCATGCTCGATTAACAACTAAAATATGCTGTTATGTATTCATCATAACAATGCATGAGTTAAAAGAATGTATGTTTGTTTTTTAACGCCGCACTCAGGAATATTCCGGCTATATGACGGCGGTCTGTAAATAATCCAGACAATTCAGTTATTGGCATCATGAGCATCGATTCAAGCAGTTGGGATACGATGACATGCATCAACCATGTCAGCGAGGTTGACCTCCAGATTATATTAGTCGCCTCTTACGACATGCATAGTCGCCTGTTACGGCAAGCATGAGTGAATGAAGACCTATTCTATTCCCGATCTTCAAGGGTCCAGTATTTGTTCTCACATTCTCCACACTACATTGCCACTGCATAAGGCATGTTAAATAGTGTTTGTCATGCTATGTGAACACAGCCTATGTGTGGAGAAATAGAGAATCTCACCCGAGTGTCTTTTGATATCAAATATATCAACCCGAGTTGATAAAAGTGGAAAAACTCCGAGGCTTGCCGAGGATTTTTGCCACTTTTATCAACGACTGTTTGATATCAAAAGACACGAGGGTGAGATTTTATTTATAATCCAACATCATTCTTCCAACTTTTTCAATTTGTAGACAGTAATTAGCAGTGTCTTACTGCTAAGAGCTTCAGTAGCAGAGCCATTTGATGGTGACGTCATGGTAAACAATGGTCTGCAAATCATTGTGATGTAATATCATTGCAGCGATATCTACAGTGTAGATATCGCTTCATCTCATCCAAGTGATATCTCCCGTGGGAGCCAGTTTTGGATGATAAATGACAACGCAATACATACTTTAATAAAACAACTTCTAATCATTTTATGATTATATTCTTCTAATAAATACGTGTTACTCTTTTTCTAACTACATTGAGGCTTAGTGTTGGGCGACCTACCTTCGACACAGCAGTGCTAGCAGTAGGATCATTAATCCGAGGAATAGCAGCCCCGTTATAAGAGACACTGTTATGATCGTTACTGAAAAAATAAGCTCTGTTAAATGATTCTAATAAGTTAACGACGATATACGCTATACGATGTGTGTTTGTTTGTTTGTTTGTTTGTTGTTTAACGCCGCACTCAGCAATATTCCAGCTATATGACGGCGGTCTGTAAAATAATCGAGTCTGGACCAGACAATCCAGTGATTGACATCATGAGCATCGATCCACGCAATTGGGATATGATGACATGCATCGATCAACTCAGCGAGTCTGACCACCCGATCCCGTGTAATTACATGTGATCACTCTCGTTGCTGAACTATTCGTCTACCGTCATGTATATAACACCAGTTATTCCAGAACTGCATGGGAAGATACACTTTTGTTTAAAGATATTGTTTGGAGCAATGAACAAACACAGACAGACGGATTTAGGCATTATTTTAAAGGCCACCCGCCAAAATATACACAGAAAACAGTTGAAGCACACATAAAATATTTGACAAAATGAGATTTGAAATATAATACTTCTAATTTAGACAGGTTTGTTCGGAAATTAATACTACTACTAATGCTAACTACTATTACAGCGCCAAAACTACAACTACCAGCACCACCGCCACTACAACATCAACAGCTACAACTACTATTAGTACAACGCAAACAACTACTACAACTACCACCACTACAACACCAACTACTACAACAACTACCACTACAACACAAACAACCACTACAACTACTACTACAACGCCAACAACCACTACAACAACGACCGCTACATCCTCTTCAACATCAACAGCTACAATTACTATCACTACAACACCTACTACCACTACTACTACCACTTCTAACATTACAAAAAAATGTAACATAACTCTTGTTTTGAACAAATTTTGGTCCTTCTGTATCGGATCCATTACAACCCTTTTTTCCTTTTTGAAATCATTCTGAACTGTGGGATATACCGTCAAGGATATTGTCGCATTCAAAGGCAATTAATATTATTTTTGTCGAAATTGCGTTATTGTGTGTGAGTGAGTTGGGTTTAACACCGCTTTTCACAGTATTCCATTTATATCACGGCGTGTCAGCTTAATGTGGGAGGAAAGTCAGAAGTGATGCAGGTCTCAGACATATACCACTTCGGTGAAACGCACGAGCACGGGTCGAAATTGCGTTATTGTGTGTTAGTGAGTTGGGTTTAACACCGCTTTTCACAGTATTCCAGTTATATCACGGCGTGTCAGCTTATTGTGGGAGGAAAGCCAGAAGTGATGCAGGTTTCAGACATAAACCACTTCGGTGAAACCCACGAGCACGGGTATGGTGCTGGCGTTATTGTGAGATTTTGCATGATTGTGCATAGTGTCAAAATGTCGCTTGTGCGTCTTGTCCTTCAGCCAATACAAAATATTATTCCAAACACAAATCCTTGAGTTCTTTATTCTTGTACAGATCAAAGATCATGATTGAGTGAGTGAGTTGGGCTAACCCAACTGCACGGCGACAAAACAGATAATGGTCTAGAATGGTGAAGGCGTCAGAGACACCGTTTCGAGTATGCACATGCATTGGTACACAATACTTTCTGAAGCCCATTTCCGGTGTCCACAGTGGCTAGAATATTGATGAAACCGACCACAATGCACGACCACAATGCACAGGTGTGAGTTAGTGAGTGAGTTCGGTTTTACGCCGCTTTTAGCAATATTCCAGCAATATCACGGCGGGGGACACCAGAAATGGGCTTCACACATTGTACCCATGTCGGGAATCGAACCCGGGTCTTCGGCGTGACGAGCGAACGCTCTAACCACGGCTACCCGACCGCCCCCACAATGCACCGGTACCCACTAAGGCACGCACGTCCTTACGCACGCACTCATTCACGAGTAAAGTGAGTGAGTGAGTTGGGTTTAACGCCGCTTTTAACAGTATTCCAGTTATATCACGGCGTGTCAGCTTAATGTGGGAGGAAAGCCCGAAGTAATGCAGGGCTCAGACGTTTACCACTTCGGTGAAACCCACGAGCACGGGTATGGTGCTGACAAACCTAGAAACATAATCGGGGCGAACCTGGATTCGAACCCACAATCATAGGTTTCTGGCGTGCCCAAGGGACGCAACTCTGCACAGCGAATCCCGTGCCCCCTTCACGAGTATAAGGCGTGACTTACCAGTTGGTCTGTCAGTGACCCCTGGGGTCCCATCCTCTTCATCCTTATCCTGGACACGCCCTCCCCCTGGGAAAAACCAGAATGTCTTGTATTACGTATCATCGAAATAATCAAAGTATCTGTGTAATATAATGTTGTTCTTTGGTTTGTTTGTTGTTTAACGCCGCACTCATTAATATTCCAGCTACATAACGGCGGTCTGTAAATGATCGGATCTGGACCGGACAATCCATGGATATCATGAGCTTGATCTACGCAATTGGTATATCGTTATGGATCAACCAAGTCAGCGAAACTGACGACCTGATCCGTTAGTCGCATCTTACGACAAGCATAGTCGCCTTTTACGGCAAGCATGGGTTGCTGAAGACCTATTCTAACCCGGATGTTCACGGGTCGTGTAATATAACAATCAACAAACAATGCCTACGTGACATTACATATTCATCAAAACAATTGAAGTTACACGAAGTATCTGTGTAATATAACAATCAACAAACAATGGCTACACTGCCTACAATATCACTGGTTTGTTGGTCTGAATTTGATTATTTTCGAGCCACGGTGATATAGATGGCCTAATGTTCAGTGCATCTTCCCGAGGCAAGGGAGTTATAATTAACTGACTATAAAAGTCCAGTTTCCACCCTTGCCGAACTAGGCTGGTATTATGGATTTACATTTTGGCTGGACTAACGAGTCTATGCATAGTCCAATCAAAATCGCGCACCGAAATCGAAATCCGGTTCGTAAACTGTCGTGCAGATTTCGATCGATTGCAGGATTTGCAAAGTATGTGCACCGCCAACTCGTTGTCAACAGATATTTTCCAAATCCTTTCATATTTTTAATCAAGGTACTCACGTGATTTGATTCATTTCGCGATGTAAGACCCATTTTATCACAAGATAGATCTTGATTATCGATCAGATCGTCCTGACTGGACGCCACCATTTTGTGTGAAACAAACGCAAGTGATACGAGAGGTGGAATCTGATTGGTCCATAGGAGAGTATTAGAAGGGACATAACCGGTAATAGGCACTGGTGGCGCTACGTTCGAGCTAAGTTATTCCAGCCTAGTTCGGCAAGGGTGGAAACTGGACTTTTAAAGTCAGTTAACTCCCTAGCCTCGGGAAGATGTGTTCAGTGCGGCGGTAACAAAGAAACAAACACAGTTGCCAGGGGACGGCGAGGAGCTGCTACAGCAGGGAGACAATCTGGTGCACTTATACTTATTTTTTTTGAGAACTTGTTTTAATATTAAATTACTTTCTTACCTGTCTCATCTTCTTCATCGGTCGTATTACGTGTTGAATCTGATGTAGTTCTCGTTATAGTCGTTGTCGGTGTTGCAGTTGTCATTGTCGTTGGTGTACTTGTTGGCGTTGTAAAGGTATACCCTGTTCTGGGCGTTATGGTAACAGTAGAGGTCGTTGGTGAATGCATTGTGGTTGTGGGTATGGTTAGTCTTGTTGATGTGGGCCTTAAAGTAGATGTTGTATAAGTTGTACTTGGTGTGGTTGCGGTTGTCGTTGTTGTTGTTGTTGTAGAAGTAGTAATCGGTGTTGTGGCTGTTGGAGGTAAAGTGGTTGTAGTCATAGTAGTTTGTGTAGGGGTAGTAGTTCTCGTAGTTGGTGTTGTAGTGGTAATGATAGTTGTAGTTGTTGGTGTTGTAGTAGCAGTGGTTGTAGTAGTTGGCGTTGTAGTGGTAGTAGTAGTAGTAGTTGTAGTTGTTGGCGTTGTAGTGGTGGTAACGGCCATAGTTGTAGTGGTTGTTGGTGATGTAGTAGTAGTTGAAGTGGTTGTTGGTGTTGTAGTTGTAGTGGTAGTAGTAGTAGTTGTTGGCGTTGTAGTGGTAGTAGTTGTAATTGTTGTCGTTGTAGTAGTAGTTGGTGTGGTTGTTGGTGTTGTAGTTGTAGTATCTGCAGTTGTAGTAGTTGTAGTTGTTGGCATTGGAGTAGTAGATGTAGTGGTTGTTGGTGTTGTAGTTGTAGTAGTTGTAGTAGTTGTAGTTGTAGTTGTAGTTGTTGGTGTTGTAGTTGTAGTGGTTGTTGGTGTTGCAGTTGTAGTAGTTGTAGTTGTTGGTGTTGTAGTTGTAGTGGTTGTTGGTGTTGTAGTGGTAGTAGTTGGTGTAGTAGTAGGTGTTGGTGTTGAAGTGGTGGTAGTGGTCGTAGTTGTAGTGGTTGTTGGTGTTGGAGTAGTGGTTGTAGTCGTAGTAGTAGGTGTAGTTGTAGGGGTTGTAGTGGTAGTAGTTGTAGTTGTTGGCGTTGTAGTGGTGGTAGTGGTCGTAGATGTAGTGGTTGTTGGCGTTGTAGTAGTAGTTGTAGTTGTTGTTGGTGTTGTAGTGGTAGTGGTAGTGGTAGTAGTAGTAGTTGTAGTTGTTGGCGTTGTAGTAGTAGTTGTAGTGGTTGTTGGTGTTGTAGAAGTAGTAGTTGTTGGCGTTGTAGTGGTGGTGGTAGTAGTTGTAGTTGTAGTTGTTGGTGTTGTAGACGTAGTAGTTGATGGCGGTGGTGTAGTAGTAGTTGTAGTTGTAGGCGTTGTAGTAGTAGTTGTAGTGGTTGTTGGTGTTGTAGAAGTAGTAGTTGTTGGCGTTGTAGTGGTGGTGGTAGTAGTTGTAGTTGTAGTTGTTGGTGTTGTAGACGTAGTAGTTGATGGCGGTGGTGTAGTAGTAGTTGTAGTTGTAGGCGTTGTAGTGGTAGTAGTTGTAGTTGTTGGCGTTGTAGTTGTGGTAGTGGTGGTTGTTGTAGTGGTTCTTGGCGTTGTAATAGTAGTTGTAGTGGTCGTTGGTGTTGTAGTGGTAGTGGTAGTAGTTGTAGTGGTTGTAGTTGTAGTAGTTGTAGTTGTTGGCGTTGTAGTAGTAGTTGTAGTGGTTGTTGGTGTTGTAGTGGTAGTTGTTGGTGTGGTAGTAGTTGTTGGTGTTGTAGACGTAGTTGTTGGTGTTGTAGTTGTAGTAGTAGTCGTAGTAGTAGTTGTTGGTGTTGTATACGTAGTAGTTGATGGTGGCGGTGTAGTAGTAGTTGTAGTTGTAGGCGTTGTAGTGGTAGGAGTTGTAGTTGTAGGCGTTGTAGTGGTAGTAGTTGTAGTTGTTGGCGTTGTAGTGGTGGTAGTGGTCGTAGTTGTAGTGGTAGTTGGCGTTGTGGTAGTAGTTGTAGTGGTTGTTGGTGTTGTAGTGGTAGTGGTAGTAGTTGTAGTTGTTGGCGTTGTAGTAGTAGTTGTAGTGGTTGTTGGTGTTGTAGAAGTAGTAGTTGTAGTTGTTGGCGTTGTAGTGGTGGTGGTGGTAGTAGTTGTAGTTGTAGTTGTTGGTGTTGTAGACGTAGAAGTTGATGGCGGTGGTGTAGTAGTAGTTGTAGTTGTATGCGTTGTAGTGGTAGTAGTTGTAGTTGTTGGCGTTGTAGTGGTGGTAGTGGTCGTAGTTGTAGTGGTAGTTGGCGTTGTAGTAGTAGGTGTAGTGGTTGTTGGTGTTGTAGTGGTAGTGGTAGTAGTTGTAGTTGTTGGCGTTGTAGTAGTAGTTGAAGTGGTTGTTGGCGTTGTAGTGGTGGTGGTCGTAGTTGTAGTGGTTGCTGGCGTTGTAGTAGTAGTTGTAGTTGTTGTTGGTGTTGAAGTGGTAGTGGTAGTGGTAGTAGTTGTAGTTGTTGGCGTTGTAGTAGTAGTTGTAGTGGTTGTTGGTGTTGTAGAAGTAGTAGTTGTAGTTGTTGGCGTTGTAGTGGTAGTAGTGGTAGTAGTTGTAGTTGTTGGCGTTGTAGTAGGAGTTGTAGTGGTTGTTGGTGTTGTAGTGGTCGTAGTAGTCGTAGTAGTAGTTGATGTCGGTGTCGTAGTTGTAGTTGTAGGCGTTGTAGTGGTAGTAGTTGTAGTTGTTGGCGTTGTAGTGGTAGTAGTTGTAGTTGTTGGCGTTGTAGTGGTGGTAGTAGTTGTAGTGGTTGTTGGTGTTGTAGTGGTGGTAGTGGTAGTAGTAGTAGTAGTTGATGGCAGTGTTGTAGTAGTAGTTGTAGTTGTAGTTGTAGGCGTTGTAGTGGTAGTAGTGCTCGTAGTTGTAGTAGTTGGTGTTGTAGTGGTAGTAGTTGTAGTTGTAGATGTAGTTGTTGGTGTTGTAGTGGTAGTAGTAGTTGTAGTTGTAGTTGATGGCGGTGGTGTAGTAGTAGTTGTCGTCGTTGGCGTTGTAGTGGTTGTAGTAGGACTTGTAGTTGTAGGAGTTGCAGTAGTTGTTGGAGTTGTCGTGGTAGTGGTTGTACTTGTAGTGGTTGTTGGTGTTGTAGTTGTTGTCGTAGTTGTTGTTGGCGTTGTCATGGTAGTAGTCGTAGTTGTTGTTGTTGGCGTTGTCGTCGTAGTTGTAGTAGTCGTTGGCGTTGTTGTTGTAGTTGTTGTGGTAGTTGTTGTTGTGGTGGTAGTAGTTGTTGGTGTAGTAGTAGTTGTCGTCGTTGGCGTTGTAGTGGTAGTAGTAGGACTTGTAGTTGTAGGAGTTGTAGTAGTGGTTGGAGTTGTCGTGGTTGTGGTTGTACTTGTAGTGGTTGTTGGTGTTGTAGTTGTTGTCGTAGTTGTTGTTGGCGTTGTCGTGGTAGTAGTCGTAGTTGTTGTTGTTGGCGTTGTCGTCGTAGTTGTAGTAGTCGTTGGCGTTGTTGTTGTAGTTGTTGTGGTAGTTGTTGTTGTGGTGGTAGTAGTTGTTGGGGTAGTTGTTGTGGTAGTTGGTGTTGTAGTTGTTGTTGTGGTGGTAGTAGTTGTTGGGGTAGTTGTAGTTGTCGTAGTTGTTGTTGGCGTTGTCGTAGTCGTTGGCGTCGTTGTTGTAGTTGTGGTTGTTGTGGTAGTTGGTGTTGTAGTTGTTGTGGTGGTGGTGGTAGTTGTTGGGGTAGTTGTAGTTGTCGTAGTTGTTGTTGGCGTTGTCGTAGTAGTTGTAGTAGTTGTTGGCGTCGTTGTTGTAGTTGTGGTTGTTGTGGTAGTTGGTGTTGTAGTTGTTGTTGTTGTGGTGGTGGTGGTAGTTGTTGGGGTAGTTGTAGTTGTTGTCGTCGTTGTTGTCGTTGTTATTGGCTCTACTTTCTCCCCGTTGCAATATTCTACAAAGATGAAAAAATGACTTTATTTACAATCGCTGAATGAGGTCGCTTCGTTCTCAAACTAAAATGGCGGCTGACTTTGACAGCGGAACAAGAAATTCTCGACTGGATCAACGAGGAAATGAGCAAAGGCAGCTAGCACCCAGTCATCCTCAGTCTGCTCCTCATCTTCAAAGTAGTCATAAATTCATCTGCTCGTCATCGAGCCTCTTCTAATACGTTCTTCATTACGTCAAGGCAACCAAGCGGTAGTTGCGCCGGAAGAGTACGCAAGCGCTTAGAACTGTTGCAGAGCCCAGGATAAGCGATTAATTTGCTTTCTCTAAGCGATTCGTGGCTTGCCACGCCCCCCAGTGCTTTTTTAAGTTAAGACACTGCCTGTCTACAAAATGAAAAAAGTTGGAAGAATGATGTTGGAAGCCTCGGACTTTTAATTTGTATCGACTCGCGTAGATATATTTGATATCAAAAGACACTTAGGTGAGATTATCCATATCGTCCCATTCATCTACCTGACGAGGACATCATATTGACCAGCTGTCTCTTGAACATGAACATGAACGCTCCTTCCAAACCTGCTTTCTGTGACCGATAACTTCATCATTGATTCCTTTCTGATGATAAGTCCAATCGTGGACTGCATTCATTTGGATTGCATGAGTTTGTCGGATATATTATGGTGCATGTACGCTAATGATAACCAAATATTTGAAATTATTGAAAATATTTGAAGTACTTTGTTTCAAAATACCATAATTCAAGGTTTGAATAGTTTTGGAACGGAAGCTTTGTACTAAAGAAAGGAAAAAACACAAAGGACCTAAAACATGTTAGGTCAAAGGTGGCCCAGTAATCTTTGGCGCAGTAAATCGCTTAAAAATTCATTCCTGAGGCGTGCAACGAAACCTATGGTTGTGGCTTGCGTGCCGTGGCATATTGTTAACCGGCGTTAAAACCAAAATTCACTCGCTTAAAGTACTTCAATAATTAAAGAGAGTGTTGAAAAAAAACGTGGAGAAAACACACCCAAATTTGTAGCTTCTTCGACACATTCATTGATTGCATCCGGGTCAGACCAAAACTCCTTGGTCGTCCTCTTACGGAAGCCTTGTCCACAAACACAGATGGCGTTCTTGCACTCGGCGGACGGGTCGGCACACTCGCTGCTCCGACTGCATTTCTCGTCAAGAACCTTTCGAAGAGTATACATTGTGAGATATAACATGAGATGTATTATTGTTAAATGCCAACTTAGAATCCTAAAGGTACCCTGTAAAAACGGGGAGCTCCAATTGGTTCCAGTGAGAAGCATGTAAGACATCATGACACTTTGGTAGGTGCAGGTGTAGGAGGGAGAATGTGAGATACCCTGAGACAGTGAACTGGTTGTTGCAGGTTGTGTTTGGAGGAGAGTGTAAGATACCATGAGACAGTGAACTGGTTGTTGCGGGTGGTGTAGGGGGGAGAGTGTAAGATACCCTGAGACAGTGAACTGGTTGTTGCGGGTGGTGTAGGGGGGAGAGTGTAAGATACCCTGAGACAGTGAACTGGTTGTTGCGGGTGGTGTAGGGGGGAGAGTGTAAGATACCCTGAGACAGTGAACTGGTTGTTGCGGGTTGTGTTTGGAGGAGAGTGTAAGATACCCTGAGACAGTGAACTGGTTGTTGCGGGTGGTGTAGGGGGGAGAGTGTAAGATACCCTGAGACAGTGAACTGGTTGTTGCAGGTTGTGTTTGGAGGAGAGTGTAAAATACCCTGAGACAGTGAACTGGTTGTTGCAGGTTGTGTTTGGAGGAGAGTGTAAGATACCATGAGACAGTGAACTGGTTGTTGCGGGTGGTGCAGGAGGGAGAGTGTAAGATACCCTGAGACAGTGAACTGGTTGTTGCGGGTTGTGTAGGGGGAGAGTGTAAGATACCCTGAGACAGTGAACTGGTTATTGCGGGTTGTGTAGGGGGAGAGTGTAAGATACCCTGAGACAGTGAACTGGTTGTTGCGGGTGGTGTAGGGGGAGAGTGTAAGATACCCTGAGACAGTGAACTGGTTGTTGCAGGTGGTGTAGGGGGAGAGTGTAAGAAACCCTGAGACAATGAACTGGTTGTTGCGGGTGCAGTAGGGAGAATGTGAGATACCATGAGACAGTGAACTGGTTGTTGCAGGTGCAGTAGGGAGAGTGTAAGATACCCTGAGACAGTGAACTGGTTGTTGCAAGTGGTGTAGGAGGGAGAGTGTAAGATACCCTGAGACAGTGAACTGGTTGTTGCAGACGGTATGTTAGGGAGTGTAAGATACCATGAGACAGTGAACTGGTTGTTGCAGACGGTATGTTAGGGAGTGTAAAATACACTGAGACAGTGAACTGGTTGCTGCAGGTGGTATAGGAGGGAGAGTATAAGTACTTTGAGTTATAGGTTGGTGCAGGTGTGGTCGGTGGGAAAATGAAACATACCTTGAGGCCCTGGTAGGTGCAGGTGTTGTAGTTGGTTCTCCGGAAGAACATCTGACAGTCACATCGGCCTCTACTGCAGAAGGCCATGATAGAGATACACTTGACATTACGGTTGCACGGGTCCGTTATGTTGCCGGCTGAAACAGTGGTAGATGTGTCATACTGTACTGTGTTACTGTTTCTAAACCTGACTGATTGGGTTGAGAGTTATTGATCCCGTTACTTGTTTCAACATATAAAGGTCCACATAGTGTTCTACGTACTACCCATGCCTACATTCCTAGAACTTTTGGTTGATCATGTGTTGCTGTAACTAACCTGATGCAATGTTACAGACAGACCGGGCAGACATCAGGCAGGGCACGAACAGGCAGAACCAGGGTAACTATACCCAATGAAGACCGGTACTTGCGTAATTTGCATCTCCGGAATCGATTCCTGACAGTGACGTCATCAGAGACGAATGCCTAGGGGCATATGGTTAGTTGGCAGACAGACAGTGGCCAGGCGACTCGAGCTCGCAGAACTAACAGAGGACAGTTATTGACAGCGCAACATAGTCGTCGGAGATTTAGATGGGCCCAGACTGAACGTCGTTGGCAGCGACGTGACTGGCAGAGGGTTCTGTCTGTACAGAGCTGATGGAAGACAGCGTGTTTAACGCCGTATGAGAGAACGAACGGCAGCGTATTGAGTTCAAAAGGTCGGACCGTATGGTGGAGAGGGTGTTATGGTGTAGGGACGAATTTGTGGGCAGGAGACAACACCACTGGTTATAGTTAACGTAAATTTGACAGCACATAGACACATGGATGGCATTATTCGTCCGATTGTCCTACCATTTCGACAACAGCCCTAATATCGTACAGAACGTCCTTGCAGCCAACAACGTAAATGTGTTGCCGTGATCTGCACGTGTCCCCCCCCCCCCCCCCCCCCCCCCAGAACAACGACGGCAACAACACAAGATATGATCTAGGCCCTCCAAGACGACGTATCCCACGTGACGTCATCATACGATTGACTTCTGTGCGCCGGAGAGTTTTTGCGCATCTTGTAGAAGGGCGTCGTCATACACGCTATTAATGTGACGTGTCATGGAACTTATGCGATGTCACCTATGTGAGTGCCGTTTGTCCATTACATTAAAAGCTTATTTTGCTACTCCACCTCAATTCGAGCAACCGATAACGCCAATATCGGATGTTGTATAACTGTCATTTTAAATGTTGATTTCATTTTTATCTTTTCAATACATTTTCCTTCATGCATCCATCTTGTGTGGTTGTTTTTGAAACAGGACTTTTAAAGTGGAGCTATCGTACTGATTCTTTTGGCCGTCAGAGCTAACTTCAATCATTAGCCTATGTGCGCTGCATCTAAATTGAGCAAAGTTTAGATCCTCTGAAATTCATAACAGTTAGTATTCTGGTGAAAAGTGATGTCTTAAAAGACTTGCAATGATTACATTTGTCTGAACATAAAACCTGCGATGACCATTTTTTAAAAGTAGATATCTTAAGTCTTTGGCGTACAAGTTATAACAGCTTATCTGGATTATTGGGTACCCATTGATTATGCCAACATATACATAGCCGCATTCATTTAACAAGGATTTTACATCATATACCAAATAACGAATTCCATGGCAAACATTTCACATTATTGCATTTTTCTCGATAATCTACCTATGAGCATTTTGAGAACCTTAGACCAACACGTGTGAATTATAACATATTGAAATCTTCAATGTGGTTGCGACTCATGACGTGTATCTATGTTGAATACCTTACGGAGGTAAAAATATGTACAGTAGAAATAAGAGAGACATTTACGTTTGCCAAAGCCAGTGTCATACCCACACAGATAATTCATAACTTGAATATTATACACAGGGCATAGGGTTATCTAACATGTACCAAAATGATTCAACATATTAACAGGAAAATATATCTGTAAATCAAAATGGTTTACCAAGAAATCCAAAGACGGGGTATCATGACCTTCAAGATACCAAAACCCCCATCGCCCCCTCCCACCAAAACAACAACAAAAAAACAACAACATAACCCCCAAAAAAAACAAAAACAAAAACAAAAACAAAACAAACAACAACAAAAACCCACACCCCAAAACAAAACAAACCCAAAAACAACACACACACACACACGCACGCACACACACACACACAAACGCACGCACGCACGCACGCACACGTACACGCACACGCACACGCACACACACACACACACACTTAATAATATTAAATCTAACGTCACCGGTCTGATTAAAATATGCAGAAGTTACACATGGTCATAAAAATGGAGCCGGAATTCTACATGCAGTGTAAAACAATAAACACATATAAAAGGATGCAGTGTGATGAGGAAGGAAAGCCAAAAGTGATGCAGAGTAAGCGATGGCCATGAATAACTCCCTATGGACATACCAATCAAACACTTGGTCAGGTCCATGGAGGCGATGTAGTCCTGATCACACAGGCAGTTCATTCCGCGGCAGCCATTGGGGAGACACTTGGACCTGGCCGGACAGTCACTGTCGTAGGCGCAAGTGGAAAACACGTCCGCAGCTGAAACAAATTAACAGTCATGAAAAATAAACAGTGTGAACGTTGGCCTTCAGTGTTGCCTTACACCAGGGCGTACCCACTTGGCTGGTGAGAAATCCGAATTGATGTTTCCCACTTTGGCAAAATACACGATCCCAGGTATGATGCTGATAAACAAGCAGCGTTTCTGGGATTCGAACCCACGATCTGCACACTAATGCGCACTGTCAAAATACTGCAACTACCTTAAATTTGTAGGGCTTAGACTTGCTGAGACCGATGATCACACTCACTGCAAATTTGCACATTCTCATTGTTATATGACGTCATACCGAGATGATATCATATACACATGATGTAATTCATTCAGTGGCGTCATCATGATACAATATTTAGTAAAAAGTAATCTGTGTCTGGAGGATTTTGTGTAAAAATATACTGGCTCAATGAAGACTGGGGTAAGATATGAATTTGATCCCACATGACAACTACCTGGTTTGAAATGTAAATGTGTGCCAAAACAGGCAAAAATATTTATTTTCAGAGATAGGATGTCTAAGATATCCATCAGCAGTTGCGTATTGTGCGATTGTTTTTAATTTGTAAACGGTTTAAATCAAATTATAGTTAAAAGAACAAAACAATTCAGACGAATATAAGCGCCAATACAGTTCATATTTTGGATAAAAAATCCTTAATTGAAGTTAATTTTCAATTGAAAATCAAACATATTATAGAATCAACTGAGAGGTATAGTTTATTTTGCCGCTCAGTTTATTACTGACTCTGACATGGAACTGGTTAAATGGTATACCGATTGGCAATCGAAGACCATACATAGTCTTCAGGCAACACGATTGCTGTTGGTGGATTGCACTTGTATCAGTAACCAATACAAATATACCAAACAAAACAAGTTAGGGGTCATGAATATATTGGGGGATATTGAAATTGTGTGCTAAGTCTTCACTTCAAACTTGGTTTGTTCAGTATATATACTTACATGTGGTTTAGAAGAATTTATAGCAGCATACCGTTTAAATAGAACTTGACGTTGACGCCAAATAATGCTACACAAGTAAAAACCGACAATGCATGAGTGGGATTGGTTTTACGCCGTTTTGTACAGTATGTCAGTGATGTTACGGCGTGTCTGAAGTGATGCAGGTTTTTGACTTTTTCAACTTTGATGCGATGACAAATCGAGAACGTAATCAGGGTCGAACCCTTGATCACATTTTTCTGACACACCGCGCAGCGACACATGTGACTGAGTCCCCGTTTGCATCCACTGACATTGCCGTATGAAGCTACAAAAATCATTTATCTTGCAAAAGAGCGGTTTGATATCATTACGTTCACAGAACATCACCATGGCTAACTGAACTGTCGTGAAAAAGTAAGTTAAACCCATGTTTCATTGTGGCTTAAATGAACAAGAAATGCTATTCGATGGGCAAGTATCTGATGTGTTAGATGTATTGGACTTTAAAGTTGCAGTGTTTCATTCTAGTAACGTTTTGATAACGTTTGAATTATTTTTTAATATGATTCAAATATGATTTACAGCTGTATATTTTGATTTTCTCGACAGTTTACATCTAAATGTAAAATATGTGATAATACTATAAATATATCAAAGGTATTCTCGTTTTGTTAAAACAATATGCATCTGCAATGCCCAACGCCGGCCGTATTTCATATTAGACTACCCATCTAGCGTTAACAGGAAGTACACCACAGCGTCTAAGATACACCTTCCCGGGGCAAGTGCGTTAGCTGTCTCCAAAAGTCCAGTTTCCAAAAGTGCTGAACCAGGCTGGAATTTCCAGGCTCGATCGTAGCGCCACCAGTGGCTATTACGAGTTATGTCTCTTCTATATCCATCCTATTGACCAATGTGATGAAACCTTTCATATCGCATGGAATTGCTTCAAACAAGATGGCGGCGCCCAGTCAAGACGAACTGATCGATAATCAGGATCTATATTATAATAAAACGGGTCTTACATCGCGAAGTGGATCAAATCACTTGAACACCTTAATAAAACATGAAAAGATTTGCAAAATATCTGTTGATGCCCAGCTGGCGGTACACTTGCTTTGCAAATCCTTCAGGCGACCGAAATATGCACGTTGAAAGTCATGTTGTTCATGAACCGCATATCTAGTTCGTTCCGCGATTTTGATTGGACCATGCATAGGTTCGTTAGTCCAGCCAGCATGAAACGAAATTCCAGCCTATTTCGGCAAGGGTGGAAACTGGACTTTTATAGCCAGTTGACGCCCTTGCCTCGGAAAGATATCAAAATGAGGCGGAATATATAATATCAACGCAAGAGAAGAATCGGTCTTGAGTATCTGCCGAAACTGATTCCAATGAACATAAAAGGGAAAATAGCGCTAAAATGTTTATTGATGTTTCGCTGAAAACGAGTGAGGACACCAGGTTTTCGCGAAAAGGGTCAGCATATCCTGCTCTACCGGTACCACCGCCACTCACACTATTTTCGCAAGACAAGGGTGTGTGTGTTGCCTGACCCCGCACGTTGGCACTCCACAACATGTTTGAGTTTTACTCCGAGAGCCCAATCGAGTCTTTCATGACACCGGTGCAACATGACATGGCGTTGAATGCCTGCATAAATTTGTCGTTTATGTCTAAAAAACGAATCTCGTTAGCATAACCAAGGCTGTATATCATGTTAGACTTTTGAGCATGCCTGCACCAATTTATCATCGTTTGTAGATTAACAAGTTCATGTGAAATAAGCAGAGAGCTTATTGTGCACACAGTGTCAGGACTTGCCACGGCCATTTGGAGGAGTATTATAGCCCATTTGTAGAGGTGTCAGATCCGTTTATGGGAACGTTAATTCTCCATGGAACATGCCGGTATGAATAAACTTGGAAACATGCTGGCTTATTAAATACCCAAGTGTGTGCAGATACAGCTTAAAATGTACTTACTCTCGACATATAAGAGACGATGACCACGCGAATGACACTAATGACACACACACACTTTTTCTGATACAGTTAAATATGCTAATATGACCTTGACTGAAATACACTCTTCACAAAAAGAATCGCGTAGGCGATAGTTCGAACGCGTAAATCTATTTCACATATTTTGTATTTTCTCCTGACCTGACCCTTTGAAGATGTTACTGTAAGAAATGTCCCACGAATCAAGGAATGGAGATATTGTGGGATAGCGATATACCGTGTGGATACATCAAATGTTTTGAATTGAAATTGAAGGAGGTTCCTTTCTCAGATTGCAAAAATCAAGGAAATCCTTTGAGGATTTGAGAATCTACCTGGTAATAATTCCACTTGTTTCATAATATTTTCTGTGAATATGAAGAAAGGCATTCAAGAAAGGCATTCCTTGATTGTATTAAGGATTATGGTCAAAGACAGGGATTTGATGGTACATTTGCTGGACCTTATAATGTATCTCTTTTTGAACGGGTTTTTATTGGAGTTTGGAGTACAGTACAAAAGAGGAATGGACATGTCATCAGGTTTCAGAGTCAATTCAAAGGTTGATGTAACGAATGCGTGGTTTTGAAATACATAAAAGCGGCGAAACACTTTTCACAATCTCTGTTGAAAGAAGAGTCCATTGTACGATTCCGACTTAATCGTATGCATGTGCTTATGAATCACTATCAGATAAAAATTATACCAGGTGTTTGCAAAACGGTGGGCGTATTGTGCTCCACCGGTGGCACCCGTCATTAACACATGCACCGGCAAGTCAACTGTTCACCTGAGCGGGAACATATGACACAAGGCAAAACAGGGAATTGCATAAAACATATTTTTTGTCACCGATGCGTCAAATCTGGAAATGTCCTCAATATGTTAACCATAAAACGTTTTGAAAGCTTAAGCTTGCAGCCTAGAATGCTGTAACGGGATCAGGGGCGGTCGGGTAGCCTAGTGGTTAAAGCTTTCGCTCGTCACGCAGAAGACCCGGGTTCGATTTCCAACATGGGTGCAATGTTTGAAGCCCATTTCTGGTGTCCCCCGCCGTAATATAGCTGGAATATTGCTAAAACCGGCGCAAAAACCATACTCACTCACTCACAAACAACTTTAGGGCAAGAGTCGTGTGACACTCTTTGAAATTGAATTTTAATTGTCCTCAAAAGTTGTGAAATGTTGACACCAAAGGTTGGAGCTGCTGGATATTGCTCAACATGAAGGGAAAGTTGAAGTCTTCCCTCTTGTCATGCTGTCTTGGGGAGATTTATTTGTTACACCCAAACATGTTTCCGCTTTCTCCGAATAGTTCACGTAAACCGACAACGCTTTGTAGTAAAACCTGAGATTAGTTTTATTAATTGTGTTCAAAGTGATTTTGTTTAAAGTGATTTCACACCTTCCAAATACTTTCATTTTCATTTATTCATCATTTTAACACACTTCACGTGTATTGTATCAACATCGAGTGATGTCCAAATAAACTGGGATTACTTCTGCTGATAGATTTTGAAAAGACATTTGATATGGTATCAAAACAATTCATAAAGTTTTACAAAAATATGGATTGGGACCAGAAATGATAAATGATAAATATACTAACTTACGATACTACATCAAGCATAATACAAATTGGGCATCTATCAGAATTGTTTACAAATGGAAGAGGCTGTCGACAAGGAGATCCATTGTCGCCATATATTTCCCTCCTAGTAGCTGAAATCTTAGGATGTATGATTAGAAATAATACTAAAATTGAAGGGATTATTGTTAATGACAAAAAATACAAACTTCGGCAGTTTGCTGGAGATACTGAATTATTGTTAAATGGCAAAGAAGAAAGCTTTTTTGCAGGTATAGAAACACTGAGTAAATTCTACAAAATGTCTGGCTTAGAAATGAATGTAGACAAGACAAAAGAAATGGATAGGCTCAAATGCGGTTCGCAATGGTCGATTACGTCAAGATTTACAAACAGAATGGCACAATAAGGAATTTAAAGTATTAGGAATTATGTTCAATCCAAACTTAAGTAAATATTTGGGTAATCAATAAGAAAAGAACGAAGAATAGAAGAAATAAATTGCCTGCAAATTGGAGAAAAAGATATCTAATGTTAATAGGAAAACGTACAGTCATAAAAAACTTCAGCATTGTCAAAACTAGTTCACTAGTTCAACACAAAACCCTCCTGAGGTGATGTCTTATCACTTTACAAAATATTTTACAATTTTATATGGAATAATAAAAAAGAAAAAATCAAAAGGACCCCTTTGACAAGAAAATATGAGGAAGGTGGATTACGCTTGATTATCATTAGAACCTTTATTGTCGCACTCAAACTATCTACGATCAGATTATATTGTAAAAAAACAACATATAGTAACCCTTGTAATATCCCAATTAAATATATACTCACTTTTGGGTGCTAATGTTGACAAGCAATCTTATGTTAAAAGACCCTAATGGAACGATGTATTGAAAGCTTGGAACAACTTTTGTAAAAACATATTATTAATGTTGATAATATAGAAGCAATTTTGTCCCAACCATTATGGCTTAATCATAACTTCAAACAAGCCACATAATACATAAAACAATGGGCTAATGATGGAATTTACTCAATTAAAGATATATGGTATAAAAACGGATTGATGCCATTTGAAGAACTGAAGTTAAAATATCCGATGAAAGGTACAATATTAGACTATAGATATTTAATTTTCAAAGTACCAGATTCATGGAAAACATCAATCAAGAAAACTAAAAAAATATTTTTTACAGAAATTGTATATAAACAGTTGCTTCGGTGATCTGATGAAGCTTATTAACGGCGCTGGAATATTTTGTGATAAATTAATATCAAATGAAAATAATCTTAAAGTTTGTGATAAATGGCAATCAATTCTTCACTGTGGTTTTAATTGGAAAAAGATATTTACTGTTTATAGATGTAAACAGAAGGATGTGAAATGTTTAGATTTTCAGTACAGATTTCTACATGGAATCTTCAACTATTAAAAATAAATTTTGTAGACAACAGTGTAGGTCACACCAACCATGTCTTTTGGGAATGTAATGAAACTAAACAATTTTAGAATGATCTCGAACTTTGGCTTAACAATTATCTTTCACACTCATTATATTGACAAAATATATTATTTGGTTTGGTTCTAACTACTCTAATACTTTAATCAATCATATACTTTTTTTGGGGAAAAAGTCATCTTCATGTATGTGAAATCAAAGGAACCAAACCGAAAAAAGATATACTTTAAAAACTACCTAAAATATATATTTATGCAATCGAGAAATTTATTGCTATAAAAGAGGATGACAAAAATAACTGTAACCTAAAAATGGTCACTGATTCTTAGCTTTCTGTCATGCTATATTTGGTTGGTGGTTGGTTTGTTGTTTAACGCCGCACTCAGCAATATTCGAGCTATATGACGGCGGTCTGTAAATAATCGAGCCTGGACCAGACAATCCAGTGATTGATATCATGAACATCGATCCACGAAATTGAGATCGATGACGTGCGTCAACCAAGTCAGCGAGCCTGACCACCCGATCCCGTTATTCGCCTTTTACGACAAGCATAGTCACCTTTTACGGCAAGCATGGGTTGCTGAAGACCTATTCTACCACGGAATCTTCACGGGGTTGAGTCTGATTGAGTGTTGCAGCCTTTTTAGTTTGAAATTGTTTCCAAACCTTTATTTTTTTAAAGAGTGTAATGTATCATTCTATGCAATCCGAAATATGTTTTTGACGGAATACAGTATTACTCTACAACTCTTGGAACAATAAACAATATTAAAAAAAACCCCAATAAACATCGTGTGATGTCCACAACTCGAACATTACAAATGGCTGCGAATACGTCAGATGTGTTAAGTGTTGTAGAGATGGCCCTTGAAAGAAAGATATCAATTATGAGTGAGTGAGTGAGTTGGGTATTAGATGACATCACATATATTTACGTTGAATTTAGTTGCTTTGCCCATACGCCGAGGATTACGAAATGTAATTGTTTTTCATGATGTTAAGAGTGGGATAGTTACTTCATGTTTTTAAGATTGTGAGTGAGTGAGTTGGGTTTAACGCCGCCTTGAACAGTATCCAGTTATATCACGGCGTGTCAGCTTGATGTGGGAGGAAAGCCCGAAGTGATGCAGGTCTCAGACGTTTAAAACTTCGGTGTGGTGCTGACATATCTAGTAACATAAACGGGGCGAACCAGGATTCGAACCCACAATAATAAGTTTTTGGCGTACCCAAGGGACGTAACTCTGAACAGTGAATTGCGGTCCCTTAAGACTGGGCCACCCTTAAACCCAATACCAATGATAACACATGGGGGCACTTCCTGTTAGAGTGACTGCTTAAGTTGGGCAATAAATAGTTACGTTTTGATATAAATTGAGTGAATGGTTAGTGCTACCGGTAGGGCAGGACATGTTTACCCTCTTCCCGAACACCTTGTATCATCACTGATTTTTCAGTGGTCCATTCATATAATTTCCACAGCTATTTTGCCCTTCACGCCTACTGGAATCTGTTTTGATGGATAACTTTGACTGGTTATTCTCGTACACTGACAATTTGTATTAAACATTAAACATTTCCCTCACACAGTTATCAGAGCATCTGCCGAATCTCCAACGATCGGTGGGCTCGGGTGGCCCAGTCGTCTAAGGCGCCGCGATTCGCTGTGCAAAGTTGCGTCTCTTGGGCACGCCAGAAACCTATGATTGTGGGTTCGAATCCCGGTTCGCCCCGATTATGTTTCTAGGTTTGTCAGCACCATACCCGTGCTCGTGGGTTTCACCGAAATGGTAAACGACTGAGACCTGCATCACTTCGGACTGTCCTCCCACATTAAGCTGACACGCTGTGATATAACTGGAATACTGCCTTAGTGTTATAAGCGGTGTTAAACCCAACCCACTCACTCACTCCAACGGTCGGACTCGACCCACGCGGTTTTGGATGTGCACCTGGAGGTGTTGTGAACTTACCTTGCACAGGTAACGCAAGGAGGGACAGGGCTGCGAGCGCATACATCATCTGAAATGCAAATGAAAGCCAATATGACACAACATTACTGTCAGACACACAACACAGGTCACACAATGTATGTCATACAGGAGTCTGGGGTAGGTCGTCCTCACCTGGAGGACAAGATGAGAACCTGGTGAGGTTATGCTTAGGACAGAGGACATGATGAGGACATGGTGAGGTCATGATGAGGACAGAGGACACGCTGAGGTCATGACGAGGACATGGTGAGGTTATGCTTAGAACAAGGTGGGGACGTGATAAGGACATGGTGAGGTCACAATGAGGACAGGGTGGGGTTATGTTTAGGACAAGGTAGGGACATGATGAAGACATGTTAAGGACATGGTAAGGTTATGTTTAGGACATGATGAGGACATGGTGAGGTTATGCTTAGGACAAGGTGTGGACATGATGAGGAAATGTTGAGGGCATGGTGAGGTCATGGTGAGGTCATGATGAGGACATGGTGAGGTGCCGATGACATGGTGAGGTTATGCTTAGGACAAGGTGTGGTCACTATGGGGCATGGTGAGATGATTAGGACATGATGAGGTCATGGTGAGGTCACAATGACATGGTGAGGTTATGCTCAGGACAAAGTGAGGACATTATGAGGACATGTTGAGGACATGGTGAGGTCATGGTGTGGTCACGATGGGGACATGGTGAGGTTATGCTTAGGACAAGGTGATGACATGATGAGGACATGGTGAGGTCATGGTATGAATACAATGAGGACATGGTGCGTGAGGACATGATGAGACATGATGAGGACATGGTAGGGTCACGATGACATGGTGACGTTATACTTAGGACATGATGAGGACATGGCGAGGACATGGTGACGACATGGTGTGATCATGATGAGGATACCATTTCAACCACTACCTACCAAAGCTATTCCACAAAATGATCAAGACCGCCCTCCACCCAGCCTCTACACCTGCCGCAATACCTGAACCAGCACCAATCCCAATCCCCCTCCCCTACGTAACACCGCCCTCCACCCAGCCTCTAGACCTGCCACCATACCTGAACCAGCACCAACCCCCTCCCCCTCCCCTACGTAACACCTCCCACCACCCAGCCTCTTCACCTGCGGCCATACCTGAACCAGCACCAATCCCAACCCCCTTACCCTACGTAACACCGCCCTCCACCCCGCCTCTACACCTGCCACCATACCTGAACCAGCACCAATCCCCCTCCCCCACCCCTACGTAACACCTCCCACCACCTAGTCTCCACACATGCGGCCATACCTGAACCAGCACCAATCCCAACCCACCTCCTCTACGTAACACCGCCCTCCATCCAGCCTCTAGACCTGCCACCATACCTGAACCAGCACCAATCCCCCTCCCCCCCCCCCTACGTAACACCTCCCACGACCCAGCCTCTACACCTGCCACCATACTGAAAGCCAAAGGTAGGAACACTTGTAAGCAACAAGATCCTAAGGTGTTGTCTGCAAAATCAGTTGTGCCTGCGCAAACTCCTATGTCGATAAAACGTCCCGCCCCAAAGACGTCGGATTGAAAGACAAAAAACATCTACTACTAAGTCAGGCCGGAAAACAGCCATCTCAGACCACCTCATCATCTGACCTAATCACATCATGTGGGACATTGTACAAATCATATCGAGCAATCTCCATGACTTCACCAAACGAAAACTGACAGAAACTGTTCAAATCCGCCAAAACAAGCCATCAGTCAACAGAGATCAAGGATACCTAATCCCATCGGCCGACAATGAATTGATAAGACAATAGAATGTTCCAGCTATCATCTTTAATTAATCCCATCTGCTGTATATTTGCAGTGGCTTCTTAATGTTATCAATCAACCATTAGCTTCTCTCCCTTGTCACTATATCAATCAACCATTAGCTTCTCTCCCTTGTCACTATAACAATCAACCATTAGCTTCTCTCCCTTGTCACTATATCAATCAACCATTAGCTTCTCTCCCTTGTCACTATATCAATCAACCATTAGCTTCTCTCCCTTGTCACTATATCAATCAACAATTAGCTTCTCTCCCTTGTCACTATATCAATCAACCATGAGCCTCTCTCCTTTGTCACTATATCAATCAAGCATTAGCTTCTCTCCCTTGTCACTATATCAATCAACCATTAGCTTCTCTCCCTTGTCACTATATCAATCAAGCATTAGCTTCTCTCCCTTGTCACTATATCAATCAACCATTAGCTTCTCTCCCTTGTCACTATATCAATCAACCATGAGCCTCTCTCCTTTGTCACTATATCAATCAACCATTAGCTTCTCTCCCTTGTCACTATATCAATCAACAATTAGCTTCTCTCCCTTGTCACTATATCAATCAACCATGAGCCTCTCTCCTTTGTCACTATATCAATCAAGCATTAGCTTCTCTCCCTTGTCACTATTACATTCAACCATTAGCTTCTCTCCCTTGTCACTATATCAATCAACCATTAGCTTCTCTCCCTTGTCAATATATCAAACAACCATTAGCTTCTCTCCCTTGTCACTATATCAATCAACCATAAGCTTCTCTCCCTTGTCACTATATCAATCAACCATTAGCTTCTCTCCCTTGTCACTATATCAATCAACCATTAGCTTCTCTCCTTGTCACTTTATCAATCAACCATTAGCTTCTATCCCTGGTCACTATATCAATCAACCATAAGCTTCTCTCCCTTGTCACTATATCAATCAACCATTAGCTTCTCTCCCTTGTCACTATATCAATCAACCATTAGCTTCTCTCCCTTGTCACTATATCAATCAACCATTAGCTTCTCTCCCTTGTCACTATATCAGTCAACCATGAGCTTCTCTCCCTTGTCACTATATTGGCTTCTCTCACTATACCGAAACTCCACATCATCATAGAATAAAGAAGTTGTCATCCACACAATATCTTGTATTCACCTTCATATCCAGCTGAACAAATTAGACATGCGAAACGCTATTGAGAGGGACGATAATGTAGACTGGTGTTTCCAGAGTGTATATTCAAGAAAATGTAAGAAATATAAGTATTACAAAATATCAATTAACTAAGGAATGAATACACAACACACAAACGTAGCAACGAATGATAAATAGATAGACTGATGGATGGATGATAACATACATGAATGCATGCATGCATCCATCCATCCATCCACACACACACACACACACACACACACACACACACACACACACACACACACACACACACACACATACATACAAACAAACATACGTACATACATACATACATAAACACACACATGCAATCAAAAACACACACTCGCACACACACCCATACACACACACACACACACACACACACACACACACACACACACACACACACACACACACACACACACACACACACACCAATACATACATACATACACACACACACACACACACACACACACACACACACACACACACACACACACACATACATACATACATACATACATACATACATACATACATACATACATACATACATACAAACAAACATACGTACATACATACATACATAAACACACACATGCAATCAAAAACACACACTCGCACACACACCCATCCATACACACACACACACACACACACACACACACACACACACACACACACACACACACACACACACACACACACACACACACACACACACATATACACACACACATACATACATACACACACACACACACACACACACACACACACACACACACACACACACATACATACATACAGAGACAAACACATATACAATATTTAATAACATGCTGATGATACAGTCGTTATCGTACATAGACTCGTGTCTTAAGACTCTGGAAAGGGAATTGTCGCTCCTTCTCATACGTTGAGCTCATTTCACATCCAGTGCACTAGGAACACGGACAGACATTGCCAAGAGCGTTAATCCACATTAGACATTTACAACCCACAAGCCCTGCCTGTCAATCATGCCTGCATTCGGTCTAAAGACTCGGTGAAATCCCCACCCATGCCTGGAGCAGAACATTAACATGTCTCGCACCATTGTGGGTCGGGTGACTGTAATCCTCCCAGTGTTCAACATGGCGGCTCCATATTGCATCAAGATTGAATGTATTTTCAAGTATCGCTTTGCAACGAATAACACTTTTTAATAAGAAAGACAAGATTCCCCAATGACTAATTCCGCCATACAAGATGGTTCATCAAATTGCAATTTATAAAGAGCAAAATGCTGGTTCACTTGATAAAATGGGGCGCAGTGAAAGTTACACGACCTTGACGACTCAGGAAGGCAATGACATCAATACACGGCGAAAGGCGTGAAGAATGTGTTTATGCTAACGAGAAAGACCCGTGAAGATGCGGGTTAGAATAGGTCTTCAGCAACCCATGCGTGCCGTAACAGGCGACTTTTACCCCGTTCACATGCGCCTCTATACATATGTGTGTATATTTGCATACGCGTGTAGAAATACATACGTGAGTATACTTGTCATGTGAACGCGTTTTCTCAAGTATGTATAATACACCATGACAAATTTGCTCCATGTCTGGAGCAGGTGCAAATGTAAATGTAAATTTGCACTGTGTGTATATGTTGCAATGTGAACGTTTATCCCAACGTCAGAGGACGATCGAATTCATATACTCACGGCCAAAGGAAACGTTAAACATAGAATTATATAGAGAAGTATGTACGTCAAGAGTGAGTGAGTGAGTGAGTATGGTTTTACGCCGCTTTTAGAATTATTCCAGCAATATCACGGCGGGGGACACCAGAAATGGGCTTAACACATTGTGCCCATGTCGGGAATCGAACCCCGGGTCTTCGGCGTGACGAGCGAACGCTTTAACCACTAGGCTACCCCACCGCCCTTGAATGTCAATAAGAGATGTTTCTAATGTGTACCACTTAATGACAAAATTAACATTCAGTCAAATGTTACCACAAAGTGTCTTTATTTTTATCACAATATGCTGCACGTGTTTCAACACT